TACTTACATTTCCAAAAGTGAGTTAGCTTACCACCCTAAAATACGTTATTTTGGGTTTAAAAAGTCAACAGCAGTTATACATTCATGTTTTGTAAATTAAACAAATTATTTAGGGTATTGAAACTGCTGTTAAATTGTTCTTTAATTTTGGCGGCCATTTTAAAAAGCGCCCTCAATTGCCTCTCGAAATCGTCACTTTAATAACTATAGCTAGTTATACTCCTATCATTACATATTCAAAAGTTGGTCAAACCTACCTCTTCTGTGCTTATTTTACCCATATAAATGTAGTTTATTGGATTTTGGCGGCTATTTTGAAAAAAGTGCCCTCACGCGAAAGTTCTCAGGTTACGCCTCTTTTACCTCACATATTCTGATTCCCCATAAAAAAAACTGGTCTAGAAAACCATATGAGAATTTCTACCTCTCCAAGTGGCACCTATCTCAATTATAGCCTGGTCTAGTCGCTTTTTTTAAAAATTATTTCTGTGTGCTATACAAGGTATTCCAGACAACTACCATAATTTTCATGTAAGAAGAAGGCATCAATTCTTTTACTACATTTTGTCCTGTAGTGTTTAACAGCTTTATGTTGAGCAATAATCTTCAGGTATCGCTTTTATCACTGCAACCTGAAAGTCTTCGTATTTATCGTATGAACAATTCTTGGACTTCCACAGGAATTTGTTCATTCCATCTGTTCCATTAACTATTTTTATTGACAGTCATTTTATTTTCATTCTTGAACGATTAAGTTTGTTAAGTATCTGAAGCTCGAAATTCTGCTAACATGGTGGCAACAATGATATGTCAGTGATCTTGTGTCTCTGCAAAACTTTCTATTGAACATGTTACTTGCTTGATTTACACTTTTCTCCTTAACTCCAAGCTGCAGTGAGATATACTTTTGTTCTTTAGACAACCTTTATGACAGAACATCTAAAACTCGGAAGTTGCTGAAAGTTTCAACAAACCCAGTTTATGATTACAGAAGCTACGTTTTCCTTTACGAAAGAAAGCCGGGGTGTAATTGTCTGTATATCGATGCCGACTGCCAGATTTTCGAGTTCACTTTGCCAAAACACAGTTTGCCGAATGCCAGTTTGGTGATCAAATACTACGAATCCCAGTTTGTTAACACCCAGTTTTTGCTGAAGTCCGCTTTGTCGAAAATAAAATAAACCAGTATTAAAACATTAACCACAGCATAACATTCATGTTGGAACACTCTCTTACTATGTATTCGTATAAGAAATAACGGCTTATTGTAGTTAAATGATTCTTTTTGTTTTAATCTGTATATCAATTGGCTATCAGCAAATAAAAGTCAGCATTTTCACTTATAATTTGATTAATCGATTCTGTATACAAAATTTTAAGAAAAAACATCAAATAAAATCATTTAAAAAAATCAATAAACGAAAGGTGTAAATGTTTTATGTATTGGCTAAACATAAATTAAGATTAAACTTACTTTTGCAGTGGATTCCTGGAAATGTCAATCATCTTTAATTGAAACGTTACCAAAATCACAGTGTATTTTTTGGAAGTGGATTGTCCAGCAATATTTCAACTTAATTCCGATTGCCACATCTGATATTAAACTTCAATGAACCTATTAACAAATTTTAATTAAGACCTATTAAAAAAAATAATTATTTAAATAATAAGATAATTTATCATATAAAATAAAATATTCTGCATAAAAAATGGAATGTCCAGCAATATATCATATTAATTTTAATTACGTTAACAAATCTGATATTCAACTTCAATGAACCTATTAATAACAAATTTTAATTATTAAACCTATTAAAAAGATCAATTTCAATTTTGATTAAGCGACCAAATCTGATATACAACTGCAATGAACGTATTAATTTTTTTTTTTAAGTTTGGTTATAATAATTAGTTAATTCAAATAAAAGGAATGTTTTTCATAAGAAACTTAATTTTGATTAAGCAACCAAATCTGATATTCAACTTCAATGAATGTATTATTAACAAATTATAATTATTAGACCTATTAAAAAAAATTAAAAGAGAATTAAGAACTTTATTGTGCATACAACACTTTCCATTTCACCAATAATCAATTTTAATTTAATCTTTTAAATTAAACAGATACAATTGCTTTGTTTAAACTAGTAATTAAATGTATATGTATTGGCTAAACAAAAATTAGCATAATAACATAACTTACATTCTCAGTGTACCTTTTGTGGAATGTCCAGCAAGATGTCAACTTAATTTAATTATGTTAACAAATTTGATATTCAACTTCAATGAACCTATTATGAAATTTTAATTATTAGACCTATTAAAAAGATCAACTTTAATTTTGGTTAAGCGACCAAATCTGATATACAACTGAAATGAATGTATTAAAACATTTTAAAAAGTTTGGTTATAATAATTAGTTAATTAAAATAAAAGAAATGTTTTTCATAAGAATTTTTATTGTGCATTTTTGTTTCACCATTGATGAACTTATATATTTTTTTTAAATTAAGCAGATATAGGGCCTAGGCCTAATTGTTTTATATGCACTAGTTTTTTAATATTTAAGTGTGCTTTCTAAGGCCTTAGCTAGTTAGTGTAGGCTTATTAGGGCCTACTACTACTTCTAGGCCCAGCTGTAGACCTAGACCAGGTCTAGGTTCAGCGACACTACCAGGCCCCTACGCCTAGGCTAGCTGGCCTTGCATATGCTGGCTCAATTGATAGAAAGAGGAGGAAAAGTGTACATAACACGTTCTCTTGAATAGATTAGTAGGTAGAACTTACTTTGAATTAATTAATCTGTTTATTAAAAGAAAAAGGAAATTTTACATATATAAGCTTTCACCTACCTTCTACGCTATGACCTATGCCTCTTAGCCTAGGCCTAGAGTGTAAGACTGAAATCGATCGACTTCAGTGCTGCTTGTTGTTTTTCGCGCGAATAAAGTTTTGTAGAAAGAGAAAGTGACAAAATGTCTAGCGCCCTCACAACTTATTTTGCCTCAAATGTCTAGCGCCCCCACAACCTCGCCCCTGAAAACAACCTATTTCGCCCCTAAAAACAACCTATTTTGCCCCTAAAAACAACCTATTTCGCCCCTAAAAACAACCTATTTCGCCCCTGTGTTTCACCATGGAGGTATTATAGAAGGAGATCACTCGGCAACAGTTCCCTTTGACGCGACAAACCCATGTGTTCCCCGCTTTTGCATCGCGCGCGGGCGTATTACCCTATAATTCACATTTTTTCGTTAGCAACAACTTGGCAACGACATGCATTTATACGCTTCCAGCAGAGCAATTGTGCAATAAAGCGTTTGATTTTAACCCATTAAATATCTTTATAATGAACAGTGTTCCCCTGATTAGATTTTTTCGGACTTTTGGTATGTTATTATTTGTATATTTCAGGAACGGATTCCGTAAAATATTTATGTTAAAATTACTTCTGTGTTCATTAGAATTTTGTCTAAAGATTGATTAGTTCGACTATAAAGCTAAGTCAGCGTAAAACTGAAAAATACTCAGATTTTGGATTGATTTTTCGAATAGTTAACCCTCGTTAACCCTAAAATGACTTAGTTTATTATAATCCAGTTTCTAATTCATTTCTAACCCATTCAATTTCTAACCCAGTTTCTAATTCATAATACACAAAAGCTGATACAAAGACACTCCTAGCACTGCACAGCAGAAACCTATTGTAGACCAGCATCAAGACAAACACCCCATTGTGCACCCCTACCTTACAATGGTATAATCCATTGTCGGGTGGCTTTGGACAAGGGTGGCTTTATTCCTACATTCCGTCATATCATGTGTATAGAATATTGAAAAATTAGTGTTTATAATATACCTGCTTGCTATATAATCTATACCTTTATTTATATTGAATATGAACGAAATATTTGTAAGAAGTCAACATTAAAACAATACATAGAATTGTACCTGTGTGTCCGAGCATTTCTAAACGTTTATCCTTTAGAATCAGTATTGTAGCAGTTATTGCTATGATTTACTACTCAAATAATCGACCAGAAATTCAACACTGCCTTTTTATACTTTCAAAGACCATGTTGTACGTAAACACTGCCTATGCATAGGGATATTGTAATTAAAGTAATAGTCAATTACGGTAGTTTAATCTGTATCGACTGTATACACTTTCCTCTTGACCGACTACCAAGAGATTTTGACCTACCCTAATTATGAAGTAGTTTAGTTTCTAAACTAACTTATGCCCTAACAACGCCGTATCTTTCATATTGCACAAGCTGCGAACACTACACCACCTTCATCACTCGTGAGAAGAAGTGTCAAGCAGGCATGCATTATTCATGTCATCAGTTCACTTAAATGACCTTAAATAGTGCCCTCTATAATTTCTGCCGGAACTGTATGGGAAAAAAAATAATGCGCGTCGCCAGCCTTTTAGCCAGACCAATGTAAACATTGAAAGCTAGAGGTCTATACACTTTCCCTTCCGGATTATCTACCAGGAGGATATTAGTGGGTACCTGGTAGGGTTAAATGGCAAAATTCACTGATGTAGCTGCTACAACGTTATGGAATATTCCCCCGGGATCTTCAATTTGTATCTATATGCATGTAATTTAATGACTGGGTTAATGATATGTGAAGCATTTACAGGGGTTAATAATATGCGCTATTATGTAAGTCTACCATTATTATATTATTATTATTTTCTATAATTATAGTTATAGATTATAATTATTAACGTGATGCATCTCAAGCATATTACTTAACCATGCAAACCTCAGCCTCATAATATTATTATTATTATTATTATTATTATCATCGTCATCATCATCATCATCATCATTATTATTCAAGATATAAAGACGGGTGTGTAGTGTATTATATACAGATTGAACCACTTAATAACAGATTAAACACAAGACCACAATCAACTCAACTTCCGTAGATACTACAGGGTGTAAAAATTCAACATTTACTTGTGTAGGTCAGTGACGAAAATGTCTTTAGATGCTGAAGGTGACACGAAAACTCACATGATCGATGGCGTACGGCAGCCTATTGCAACCACAGCTAAGCATCTTCAGGATCTTCAGATGTTCGAAATTGTTAAAGACGATGTTGTTGTGATGACATCTCCTAAATCGGGTAAGATTGATAATATACTATTGACTGTGAAGGATTCTAATATTTGACTTATTACAGACATCTTTGATCTCTCGAACCTGCAGCTTCTCGCTGACAAGTTGAGTGTCATACTGTACAAATACCCATACGGTATCGAAGCACTTTCTCTCATATACAGTAACTGAGTTAGTTGGAGTTAAATCCATACAACTAAAAAGGAATTTTTGAGCATTGGTATTATTTATCTATTTGTTATGTTTACAGTCTTACGCAGCAAAAAACTAGTTTTATATTATATATATATATATATATATATATATATATGCCATGCAAGCCTATATATATATATATATATATATATATATATATATGCCATAAAAGCAAAGCAGGAATATATAGAAAAACGTTGGATGTTCATTGATTTCCCTTTCCAAACAGAAGGGGTTTCATCTCCTCGGCTGATAAAGACTCATTTACACCCACAAGCGATACCACCACACATAAAAGAGAAGAAGCCAAAGGTAAACATGTGCTTACCAGGGTGTTAATCAAACTGACAATGGGTCCCCCACACACACCCACACACACACACATGTTGTCTTACAAATGCACGGTGTTTACGTACATTCATGCTATGTTTTGACTCGTGGTCCATACAAAACCGACTGCTCGATGACTGCTGTTTGCATGCTGTGTATTTACTACATGGTGAAACGAGATACAGGTTGAGTCTTAATTTTATTTTGACATTTCAACACTGTAAACAGGCCTACATCAGAACCAAAATGTGTAACTTGTATTTACGGGATCCTTCAAATATTTACCACTTTTTTCTCTCATAGATTATATTTGTGTCTAGAAATCCCAAAGACACTGCTGTGTCTTTCTTCTTTTTCCATAAAACTGGAAAACATCTTCCTACTTACGAGTCTTGGACCGAATTTCTGAATGATTTCTGCGCTGGGAATCGTGAGTAGAGTCCGTCAGTTTAGTAATCAATAATTGATTTGTAATTATTTTTGTAATAATATTATAAATATCATTAATTGTTTTAAATATTTTTGACATTATTATATACGAGTAATTAATTATTATAAATACTGTTACGTTATTACTAATATTATTATCATCACCATCATCGTTATCAGTACTACAACTATATTATAGGCCCTGCATTTTACAGAACAAGTTCTATTAAAAGCAAATAAATTAAACAGAGTTAAATAGCTTGGTGGTTAAGATGTTTGCCTTCCAAATCCATGGTCTGGGTGATCGAGGCCTGTCGCGGTAACAGGATTTTTCTCATGACCAAAACAACTCCACTCCCTAAGCCCCTTAATAAGACTTACCAGTAGTCTCATTTTGCATTTTTGTTTGTCTGTGAAGGGATATGCCACTTATAGAATAGTGATTCAGTTCGCTGATTGGCATATCCCTGACCTTTAACCTAAACCAAAGAAAAAAATATGTGTGTTAGTAAAAGAGTATTTTTAAACATTTTATTACAGTTATTCGTGGAGATTGGTTTGCTATGAATTCCTATTGGTGGAGTCAACGCAATGATAAGAATGTACTGTTTGTCAAGTACGAAGACATGAAACGAGTAAGTTCCAATGCTATAGTAATTACTTTTTTTTATACTCGTTTACTACATTATTGTATGTATTTTTTTATTATTATTTTTCCTCTATAATCCATCAAATTTATAAACAGTTATTTCGAACTATTTTTCTTGTATGTATTTATTTTTATAGGCCTATAGGCTATCTATTTATGCATTAATCATATAAGAGAATATTCTTCTTTTTTTTAAATTTCAATTAAGCATAACTAGTGGACAGCAATTTGCCGCCCAAGTCATCGTTATTATTATTTTTATTTCTAAAAAGACAATACACTAATAGGTAATGTTAAAAGCAAAACAAACCCCATAGTTGCCACACTAAAGGACACGCAGGCGATAGTCCTTAAAAGTTGGTTGGTGTTGTAGCATTTCATTCATCCCTGTGGCAATACACATTGTGTAAATTGTCGCAACTACTAACTGTTACTGTCTACATTTTTTTGTATAGGCCTACTTTCTAACAATTTCCTATTATATAATAAAATGTATACAGACGAAAGAATGAAATATGTTTATGATACAATGAAGTAGCACTGTTAATAGAGTGTCAATGAAACTTAACCACTAACCAATCAAATTATTGGCAATAATAAGCCCGTGTCTAGCCAGGGTTCCAGGCTCTAATTTTGGGTTACACACTTTTTATTGCACGCCATACATAATTTATTTGGCGTCCCATACTTGATTTTTTTTCTTCTGTCTCAAAATTAACTTGCTCGTTGGTGGCGCTGTCCAGAATGAGAAAAAAATAATAAGGGACTTGTGGCAAGACTAACACGTGTCCTACAAACCCACCTCTTGTCTTAGCGGAAAAGTTTTTATAATATTATCTTTCACCCATTACTTCATTTAGAATCTTAGTGAAGTTGTTGAGAAAGTTGCATCGTTTCTTGGGTGGACGATTCCGGACGGAAAGTTGCCTGAGCTTCTTCAGCACTGCTCTTTTGAATCAATGAGGTCAAACAATAAGGTCAACTCTTCTGGGGATCCTTTGATAGACACCGAAAAAATTCCATTCATGAGAAAGGGTTAGTTAGTTTTAATTTTGTTTCATCTCCGTAGGAGTACATAAATTAATAAATTATATATAAAAATACGTTTTCATCTTTTTAAGCTGCAGTTTGGCTGTGAATGCTTAACTACTGTACTGTAGCCTACTCAGAAAAAATATCTGACCATTTATACTATTAATAATATTCATAATAATATCACTATGCTGATAAACGTGCATTCACACTGGTCATAATTTTTTTTTTCTAAAGCTCTGTTTATCACCATCGTGTTTTATGTGATAAATACATTTGGTTAGTTTATAAATATGTGATGACGTGTTCAAAGACCTGTCCAAATTATCATATTGTCTTGGTCAATAAAATCTGTTGTATGCCCATATATTTATGATGTGCCTATATGTTCATGATGTGATGTCATCATGACCATATTTAGACATGTCCCATGTTTTTGACAAATACAATATAATAGCCTTTCTAAAAAACTGACATTTTATCATCAAAGAAAAATAAACATTTACAAATAATAATTCAATTATTATTTGTGAATAATTGATTCAAAATAGGCCTGCCGGTATATCTGTTATGAATCAATATCGTTTACGAATAATACCATGTTATGGATTATATATTCATAGGAACGGTTGGTGATTGGAAGAATTTCTTTACTGTTGCCCAAAGCGAAGCTTTCGATCAAATTTATCGAGAAAAGATGGCGGGTACAGGCTTAGAATACGACTACGAGCTATAGTTTTAAGGCAGAACAGAGAGATTTATTCAGACAAACACATAGTTGTTAATGAAATGTATCGAAAGCCAGCATATTGACGCATACCTGCGTGTACACAGTGTGATGGCGACGCAACCTAATCACCTTCCTTGGTCTACGCGTTTGTGAAAGTGCAGTTTTGTTCAGTGGTTTTAACAACATTGAAACTATTTTCACTGTGTAAAGGCGCTATAGAATTATGGCACCACCATCTGTACAAGTCTTGTAGAGCAATAGCCCTGTCATAATTAATATTGTGTTAGTTGAAGAGTTAGTTGGGGTAAAAAACCCTATTATAAAGATGACAAAAGCACTACCTGCACCTGATTAGCTTTGTCCACTCTGTCAAATTTCATGTGACAAGTAACTGTGATTATGCCCATATTTGGATGCAAGCTAATATGAACAAAAAAATTGATAGTGTGGACATAACTTTATAATAATATTAGTCGTCAATGAAATGAAAACATTCTTAAAATGCCATGATTTTATATTTTATTTACTAATGGATGACATCATTTATCGTTGAATAAAGATAACGATCAACTAAATTTCATTTTGTTCTCCTCACCACTAGTTTTTTGTTTTTGTTTTTTTTGTGGGCATTATGAATGCAATAATTGCATATGCATAAAGATAGTAAATTTGAGAAAACACAATATTACCAGTTACCAGATAAAATAATCAGTCTTTGGACTATAGATGCCAGGGGCGGATTCAGAGATGTCCAAAAGAGGGGGGGGCCGATCGAGACAACAGTATCATAGGGGATCTGGGTGGATGCCGCCGCGAAATTTTTGTGTTCTAAACGCCCGAAAATAACATTTGAGGCGTTCTGGGAGCTATCACTTTTTTCTTTTTCTTTCTTTCTTGTTTTTTTTTTTTACCTTCCA